TGGACTAAAGCTTGTGAATGCCCCCAGCGACTGGTGGCACCTCCTGGACAGACATGGTACAGGGGCCTTGCACCCCTGTGGGCTGTGGCACAGGAGGGCCGGAGCCAGCAGTGCTGTGTGCCACAGTCCTGTTCCCCCATGCTAGTGGCCTTGATGAGTGTTCTCCCCCTGCCAATGTTACCTTCCCAGTCGACTTTACACCCTTCCAGATGCAGAAGTAGACAACGACCCAAGTGGTGACCAAGCAGAGGATCATCTGCCAGTTCATCTCCCCCGGCTCGTCAATGCCCCCAGAGAGCCGCAGCACCTTGTTCCTGCAGAGTGGGGCCATGCTGAGCACTGGTGCGACACCCTCGGCCCCAGGCAACACCCTCCTGGTTCCCACACTCACTCCCAAAACTCAATGACAGGTGAGCGTTTGTTGGTCATGTCGGCACAGCTGAAGTTGGAGGTCCAAGTGCTGGCAGTGGCATTAGTGCTGACATTGTAGCAGAGGTCCGGGTTGAAGAGCTCCGTGCACTGGTCCGTGTTCCAGGAGTGGCCACAGGTGGCCCAGGGCAGGGTGTCCGTCAGTGAGTGCACCAGGTAGAAGAGCCCCCACACCAGAATCATGATGTAGTAGGAGTTGCAGAAGAAGACGATCACCATAGAGGCGATGCCTAAACCTGGAGCACGGGGAGATCGGAGCCCGCAGGCAGCTGTGGGCACCTGGCACCCGGCATGGGGTTGGATGCGGGGTGCTGGCAGGGATGGGGAAGGACAGAGGAGAGCTGATGGGGGACAGGACAGGGGGAGCTGGCAGCCCCGGGCAGGACAGCAGGGAGCTGGTGGGAACAGGACAGGGGGAGCTGGCAAGCCTGGGCGGGACAGGATGGGGTGGGGACAGCTGGCAGCATGGCACAGGACCAGGGGAGAGCCGGCAGGATACTGCTGAGGTGGGGACCCGGCAAGCCCCGGGATCCAGCAGCATGCAGGCAGGGAGCCACAGGGGCAGCAAGGCGGGCAGGGCACTGCACAGTGCCATGGGGCACAGGTGCAGGCAGCTGCCACCCTTAGCTGGGGTGCAGGGTGGCAGTGGGACGCGGGCAAGGTGCAGGGGAACAGGCAGGGCGTGGGCAGAGTGCTGCCGGCCCCAGCAGGCTACGGGCAGTTGAGACACAGTCAGGGTGCCGGGGGCCCTGGGCAGGGTGCAGGGGCCGCGGGCAGGGTGCAGGCAGGGCACGTGCAGGGCGCGGGCGGGTGCGGCGTTACCCGTGAAGAGGGGGGCGATGTTCCAGGCGGCGATGCCCCCCTGCTTCATGAACTGCCCCAGAGCCACCTCCAAGAAGAAGATGGGGATGCCGCCCACGAAGACGATGAGCAGGTAGGGGATGAGGAAGACGCCTGGGGCCGGGGGCAGGGGGCCGGCTCAGCCGCTGCCTCCCCCCCGGCCCCCCCTCTCGCTCCCCCCCTTCCCCGCGCCGCCCGCCCGGGCGCAGCGAATGGCGAAGGCGCCTCCGCGCCCTCCCCTCGCAGCGATGTAGGTCAGCACGGGCAGGTGGTGGGGGGCTCCCACGGCCCCCCGCCCCGTGAGTGACACTGAACACCCGCGGGGTGGCCCGCGAGCCCCTCGGAGGCGCAGGGCGAGCCGGCCCAGCGTGGGGTGACCCCCACGCATACACTCCGCGGGGGGAAGGGGGTGCCCCCCGCGCCCCGGGGCGCACCTCCGCGGCGTGGGGCGAGCGCGGGGCTCACCTCCGCCGTTCTTGTAGCACAGGTAGGGGAAGCGCCAGACGTTGCCCAGCCCCACGGCGAAGCCCACGCAGGACATGATGAAATCCATCTGCCGGGTCCATGTCTCCCGTTCGGGGGCGGCCTCTTTGGGGGGACCGGGGGGTCGCACCAGCGGTGCCGTCACCGTCCGCTCCTCGCCCGCCGCGGGGGGCTCGGCGCCCTCCGCCCCGCCGGGGCCCTCTGCTGAGACCGGGGGGGTGTGGGGGGATACCCACGCCGCCGTCACGCGCGCCCGTGGGGGTGGCGGGGGGGGGGGTATGGGGGTTTCTGGGGTGGTTTCTGAGGTTTTTGGGG